TACAAAAGACCAGAGAATTGCTGTGCAGCTTTCGATGGACAAAAATAGCCTAAAACACAAATTGTTTCCTTCAGACTTAATAATATACATTATATACTTTAAATGCTTTTCTGATGCTTTAGAACACTGGCACCTACTGTGTGAAATCAAATCTTAACAGATAATGGAACATGAAAAATAAGCTCAATCACATTTACATTTTTGCATGATAGTATCAATTTAGCAGCTACCACCACTCTCGTTTGAGCATTTAGGCTTGACTCTATATTCCTGGACTATCTTCCTCAAGGGTCGAGTTCTTTTCCTCCTACTGTAGGTCTTGCCTTAACATGCTACTCTACCTACACAAATGTAGAGGTAATATACAAGATTCATGGGCACAATTTTACTGCAAGGTGGTTACTGGTTACTGCAAGGGTGAGTACAGCAGTATGTGTGCTCTTTGCTGGAAAGCCCTATGTGAATGCATTTGGAAAAGCAGATATGTCTTGTTCACCTGTCTCAACCTCTAAGTACTTATCAAAACAGTGCAAGGCTTATAGAGTTACAGCATATCACCCTATCCAACCATATGAACACCTGTTGTCTCCACCCGGGTGAAGGACTGGAATTTCATTCATCAGCACTGAGAAAACAATTAAGAATGTCATGCCTACACTGTACTGTACCAATTCTGATAATTGTGAACATAACAAGGTGGTTACATGGGTTGAAAATTAACTGTGACAGCACAAATTCCTATATAGCTCAAAATAGAATTGTAAACTAAATGTTACAGGTAAATCACCCAATTCATAAATTAATATTGTATTCTGTTATCTACTATAAGATGTTTAATCAAACAGTATTATTCAGATTAGGCTATACATCATAAGAAATTCCTTAAAAACAAAATTCTAAAATGAAAGTTTAATAATTACTGCTAGTTAATCTGAAAGGTCAGGGTTACTTTAGGTTTTTTATTCAAATTTCATTTTGTGCTGGTGTTTATAAGTACTAATAAAACTCTTATATGAAAGAATCATTCACATTTTTCCTTTCTCCATTTTGGTTTTCCTATTTTTTAGGATCTCTGACTTCTAGTTTACTGTACATGGATTTTCTTCTTTATTAAGTAAATGATTTTGTCTTATGCATTTAGCTTTAGTATGCTCATTGGCATGTTAGATGTTTAGATTGGTTCATCTCTTGTATTCCAGTTCAATACCTAATATCATAATCACATGCCTAATGCATCATGGTACTGCTGTCAAGTTTTGATAGACATCTCTTCATCTTGGATGAATAAGACCACATGCACTTCAGGGCTTGTGGGGCTTCTCTTGCATTTATTAGAGAAGATAAGAGAAAGAGCTGAAGGGTGTAGCAAAAGGTTATCAACTGTGGGCCTTGAGTGACCTCCCTAAACACCTCTTCTGCTTTATGGGGGGGGGGTTATGCTTCTTGTAGGCAACCAGTTGCAGAAGTGTAATTCTTATTTTCTCCATGTAGTATTAAACTTCAGATGAAGCCAAACCACTCCTCCTTAGTATTCTCCAAAAATTCTTTATCACTCATGTTTTACATTTACAAAAATTATTGAAATTCAGTTGACCACTTGAGCTTTCCAAAATACACAGTCACCAAGGCAAAAGATTAGTCATTTAAACAGCCCAGAAAAGAAGTCTTTAAGAACTTGCACTCTTTAATAACTTTAACATGTCAGATGAATCACTTTTTTTCTACCCCAATATCGATTGTGGTAAAAAGAGTAATATTAAGTCTTCACCTCACTTCTTTCATATTGTACAACATAAGATCTTTGTTTTAAGAAAACCATTCACTACCCAAAAACGTAGTGTAGCAAGGCGGTAGTGGGAGGAGCCGCGGCGAACACCGGTAACTTGTCGACGCCCGCTGTGAGGGGGCGGAGGTACCGGTGTGACGTTGGGAAGAACCGGAAGAAAACAAGGGAAAATTGCGCTGTTACAAAAAGAGGCGCTGCGCTGTCGGTGCAGAGCAGCGCCTAGGCCGGACTTACGCTCTCTAGCGGGGTCCAGTCTGGGAGCGCAAGGCCGAAAATAAAAGTTGTGAAAAAGGAACAGCCGGTCCCGGTGGAACTGCACAGCGGGGCAGGTGAAAAGAAAAGAGTCGACCTAACGCTCGAGTACAATCCCCCCCAAGGACCGTCAGAATAGCATCACTCCGCTTCCAGAAACAAACGCTGCTCAGCCCGTCAGAGGCGTGTCCAGTGTGGTTATAAATTGCCTGTACAGCTGTTCTTCATTAGGCCACGGCGGTCCAGCTGTGACTCGTTAGGCAATGCATCGCCCTTCCTCCAGGGCTCCAGCTCCACACTAAATACACCCCTCAAATTCCCTCCATATATTTGTACAAGAATTAAAAATTAAAACATCTCTACAGTATATATACCCCACTCCGTGAAGAGTTTATAGAGATAATGTAATATTCTGTTAACAATTTCAACCATTGACAGACTACTTTTCATCTAATAAAAATATGTACAGCCTAATAGAGATGACAACTTCTGTTATAAACTATAGGTGCTGGAGGCTTTCAGACATTCTTATCCACAATTTGCAAATCAAATGATGTTTTTTTATTATTTTATATCCATATTTTATTTCATTTTAGTATAATTTTAAAAGAAGTTAAATATATGAACTAGTCTACAAAATAAATCTGATTTGCATCACTGTAGGTATGCAAATCAGATATATTAAATATTTGTTTTTTTGCCATAGGATAAACTAAGTTACAGTACATAAGCCATATACTGTAAGCACCGAAGGAATACTAGTCTTTGGAGTTGTTGTGTTCATTGTGAAGGATGCACATGTGAAAATGAAATGTTTTTTTTTGTGCACTTTCCAGTTCAGGAGAAGAAAGCATTGAAAAAAATAGTTTTTCATGTTTTTTTGCCTGAAAAAATGAAAATGCATGAAAGGGGACCCCAGCAAAAAGCAAAATAAGTGTGTAATGAGATGTTTTGTAATGTTGATTTCTTTGTAGATTCTATTGATTGAAATGTTTCCAACTCATGCATAGAAGTGTATATTTAGGTATACACTGTATACTATAGCAAATAATTAAAATATTGTTTTTCATTTAGATCATATTTTAATGTCTAAATCAAATTAAAAAGTAGTCGAGGTTTGCAAATGGTTTCCAATAGATATTTCTTATAACATAATAATAGCTATAATAATAATTATTAATATAATTCATGATATTCATACATAATAATTATACATATAATTAAGATACTTGAAAAAAGATAAGTCATTTGGCACATCTTGTTTGTTTGGTACTTTAGTTATTAATTGAATGGAAATTACGGACAGAGAAAACCTGCCTCTTGGTGAAATTCCTGGAATGGGTGAATCACATGGCTGGGAGATCCGTTCCACACACTGTTTTTATTCAAGTGTTTCTTATTTTCCTTTTAATTTACACTAAAAGTGACACTATGACCTTTTGCTGCTCAATCTGGTGGAGTTTGGACTGACACTATATACAGTATACTCCTTAGGATTTTTTATACTGTATACTGTATGTACTGTAGCTGGCTGAAGATTATAGTTGCTACATGGTCTTAGTAATAGTTTGTTTAAGTATGTGTACTGTAGTTATTTTGGTGAGTAGAAATATTAAACTAAAATCCAGCTAAAAAATTTGAATTGTACCAAGCTTTTAGTATAATAATACTTCAACAAAATGTAATCAGAACTCTGATGGAATGTTCATATAATGGTCTACAAGATTTCAGACTTGTAAAATTATAGTGTTATATTTATTAATATGAAATCTATCTCTGCAACATTATAGGTAATACCACGATTTCTGCAAGGATTCAAAGGATGTTATTTGTAGACTGAAAATAAAACTTTTTCGAACAGTTACACAAGACAGGGGTGATATTCTTTGACTGGAAAGTTGCTAATGTCTCAGCCATCTACAATAGCGGTGACAGAAGGGTACTTAGTAATTACAGACCAAAAATAAGACTTGCTTCTGTTAAATATAAGGCCATTGAGGTGATAATTCTAAACTAGAGGATTATCTACAAAGCAATATGATTAGAGGGGATAAGCATTATTGATTTAGAAATAGTAGGTCTTGCTAAACTAACTTGTTAGTTTTCTTTGAACAAGCAACTAATAATGAACGCAAACGGAGCATACGATACCTTGATAACCTGGAGAGGCATTTTGGAATGTTCCACAAAAATATTGACATGTAGGCCAACAGGGAATATGCCCAGAGTCCCTGGCCAATCAGTGTCCCTATAACTTTTTGTGTCAAAAACATACAAGTATAAAAATCTGAGAGTTTGAAATTACAATACGGGCAAAACATGAACTAGATTGTACTTGTGTTGAGATATGCAAATTACTTGATGTGTGATTGGTTGATTGGAACTGAAATCATTAAGAATGTGCATTCTAAGTAGATAAAATGGTCAACATTACAATGCTTTAGAGGGAATGCTAAGTTGAAATTTACACAGGGCAAGGTAGGTGAAGAAGTTTATTTATAAAAAAATTACCAACAATAAATCATGACTTCAAAGAGACAGAAACTAAAAAAACTGTAACAAAAAAAATAAAGAGGGATCCAACCACTTATTGGCACATTTTGTTGTGGACTTCAAATGGAGTATGACTCTACCTATCAAGGACAGTGTGAACAGATGAACAGAAGGTTTTTTCTGATAAGCTTTATGTAGTTCTAACCAATTAGATTTTTGTAACATGCAATCAAGCAGTTCTGTAATAATTAAATCCAACATTTTTTTTTACTTGTGAGTTTATATGTGGGGGCACAGTGTGGGTGTTTTAGTTCTGTTATGGACGTTAGGTAAGGATTTGTGAAAGGTCCATACTGCTACAATTTCATACTATGTGAATATGATCAAAAGAAGAGAGCAAGCCACACTTTACACAACAATACCAAAATAAGAAAATAAGAGTGAAGAAATCGAGAAGAGAGACTGATAATTCAAGTCCATTTCCCCTTTAATGAAAGGTCTACAATTTATTATTTATTTATTATCATTACAATCTTTTTTGTTATTACTTGTACAATATTCCTTTTTCAGTGGCACACCATAGACCTCAAACTCACAGAAAACCACAACACCAGTTTTTCCAGGTTTAACTATATTTATGTAGCGGCCATCCATTCCATTGCACTTGTAAGTGGCTGAAATTCCACTTTGAAGGTTAGTGATAGTTGCACATCTGAAACAAAAAAACAAGGCAATATTCATAGTAAGCAGTAGATAAAGTTAATCACTGTAGATAAGAATTCCTGATAAGCATCTAAATATTGCTACAACTAATAAATGGGTCAATCAATCACTTAATCAACAAATCAATCAATATAGGTGATTGCAACGTGCATAAAGCATGAATTCTCAGACATTTCTGCCTGGGTATTCATTTTAAAGTCAATGCTTTTTAATGGCTATACCCCAATTTGAAGTCAAAACCCTATCCCAAACATGTCATTCTTATCATTATAATAATGATTATGAGATATTAAATGTCTGAATTATGCATATTACTTGACTTGGGTTGTAGGCTTTCCCTTTATTTCTGAGGTTCTCTGATTAAGATCCACTAGCTAAACAGTTGTCTTGCATAATGTGTGATCAGAGTTTAGTTTAGTACATTGGGTAAATGTCATTTTCAAAAACTGTTCTCCTGAAAAACATCAATATATTTTCTAATTAAATTTACTAATTACATTTAAAAATAGCATGCCATTTTATTCCTTACATTTTGCTAGATACTGATCATTATAGCATAAGACTAATGTATCATAAATTATATTAACACTAAACTTTGCTTTTGTTAAATATTCGAATCATATACCATATTTAATTCATTGCATTATCTGAATTGGTTAACATAGTCTATGTACAGTATACTGAGAGTATATAACACATTATCCCCAACACTGGCTATAATAAAATGTATTAAAGTACATCTAACAACAATCATAATGTGAGTAAGACATGTGAATTATGGTGGTGTGATTGCTGAAGACTACCAATTGCATCAAAGCCTTCCTTCATAGAAGCCCTGCCCTTTTAGCATAGCAGACTTTAGTTCTGTGAGTGTGTGCTTTGTTTCTCAAGAATTAGAAAATGCTTTAAAGAGATGAAAATGAAAAACTGCACACATGCCAAATCGATGGGTGTGCTAACAACAGGCTACATGCAAGGGGATATCTAGTGTCTGCTTTTCTAAAGTCCATTTTTGATCAATAATCTCCATGACATAATAACTAAGACTTATCAAACACCACCTGAAGTTAGAACAAAAAATAAATTATTTAAGGACCTTACAGTTTTGGGAGATTTGGGGACATTTTTAAGGGTTTGATCCACATTCAAAACAGTTGAGCTCAATCTTTTAAAAAAAAATAACATGTCTTCAATACATCTGTTTTATCATATCTTTCCTGTTAGCTCTATCATTTGACACTGAAAGTTGTTTTTTGATTCCAACCTGGGATTTTGGTTGCCATTGTTATCTAATGAGTTGCCAATGCGAATATCGGATCCATTTATCTGTTCAGGACAGCAGTCTCCTCGTGTTGTGATGATCACCCACTCTACTCTGTGTGGTTCCAATAGGTCTACCCTCCACCAGGGGGTATCATGATTTCCAGTATGTACACAGGACCCATGTTCAAAAATCCCATCATGGTTACCATCAATACCATTGGAAGCTAGGCCCAAATGGTTGTACGGTTTTGACAAGGTTGCTTTTCCACGCAGAGCAACATTTTCAACTGAAAAAAAAAATAGATTGGATGACATTACTATGAAACAAAGACATAACCAACATGACAAGCCTACAAATACAAAATGGAATCCTAAAAATAATTTCATAACCTTTGACAGATTTTCTGTTTTTAAGAACAGAGGGCAGAGGGTTGGTATAATCAGTGTTTTGTGGATCACAGAGTTTGATTGTATAATTCACCTTTGTGTTCTATAAATATCACATTAAGCACCGCTTTAGCTAAACCAAGTTGAGATCTGAATGTCCTTCCTTGTATGCTTACCAATTTACAAATGGCATACTCATCATTAATATATTCATCAGTTTTGTGCACAACTGAAATGCCGGGCTAAATACTCAGTAAAACAGCATTGAAGCTTATTACCTTTTACATACTGTATGCATGTTATGGAACAAAACATATTTTACATTTATATTCTTGAACAAAATGAGATGTAACATACTGTAAATGTTTGTGTAAGATGAAACAGGAAACAGTAAGAAAACCAGGACAAGGGTTTCTCATTTCTTGGGGGAGATTTCATACATTTGTATCACAAAGCTTGTTGTTTTGCTTATGTCTCCAAAGTCACACTGGAGAACCCAAACCTGGTAAGGCTTTAAGTGGCTTTTCTAAGGATTTAAACATATTCATCAGCAATTAAGCAAGTGCTTAGTTCAACCTGGCAATATCTGTACCTTCAGTGCTGAACAGTATTCAGCTGGGTTCATGTCAGTTTTGTACTGTTATGTTATTCAGGATGTGGATGTATGGTGTGTAAGAAGTTTAATGCTTCACCTGAAATAAAAATAAATCAAAGGAATTTGACCCTCCAGACTGACTTAATGACTGTTCTGCTTTTTGCTGTCAAAAGAACAGCAGGTGCTACTTATGGAAACTGAAAGATATTATGTGGGTACAGAGATTGCTGTTTATTTTCAATATTCTCTGATATACTGATAGATAAGAGTTACTAAAAGAAAAAAGAAATCCGAACCCTGTTCTCTCAGGTGAGGAATCTGCAGTTCACTTTTACTTGGATTATTTGGGCAATTGTTCTGTACTTCAGTGAAGGAAACAGAAGAAGTAATTATTTAAAAATTATAATAAACTTAATTATATATTGTATATGTTATATACACTTCTGAGAACTTTTTATACTCTACATAACTTTCACTTCTGAGGAACAGGATTTTAACATACATTTTAAGAAATTCAGACTTTTTAATCTCCTGGTAATATTCTTGGAACTATTTAAGTTTAATGTAATCGCGAATTATGTATTATGACCAATTGAAGTCTGAAGGGATAAAACCCAGTCACAAGCATCTACTTTCATTGAGAAATTGTTTGTGGTCTGGTTGGTGCTACAGTATGTGCTTATATGGTGCCTGTTTAACTAATCTGCCAAAACTTGTACTTCATGATTACTATGAGGAGTCACAAAAGAACCAGAGAAAACAGTGATGGGGACACCTCTCTATGAACACTTGACTGCTAGTTTGTTGTTATCTGACATACTTCTCAGTTGTAAAGCCCATCTCTCTCAGCTTTGAAGAAAAGGTTTGGTGCATCCTGCCAAACAATACTTAACTCCTTCTTTTACCAAAGAATCTAGCTTTTAGCACACAGGTGTCCAACACCTGTGACGTCCTCAGTACAGCTTTAACGGTATTTTCTCAAGCTTTCTAAGCTTGTTGAGTCCATCCCACAAATCAGTAAGCCAACCCAATCAGTTTCAAACGCCCATGCCCACTCCTTTCAAACTGAAGTCTAGATACGAACTTAAGATCTCCTCACCTCCCTCCACCCCTTTTTTATAAATCTCTTAATTTGATCAGAGGTGTGGCTAATTCCATGCAGAGCTTATCTAGACAGTTCCTTATCCTCACACAGAATTGTGAGCGCTAATTACTCAATCATACCAGGTGTGCCTCATTGTACATGTTTTTACAATTGCCAGGAGGCTTATATGATTAGGTAAACTACCCAGGTAGAACTTCCTGCTGTTATGTTTTGTTTCCTGGTTTAAAATATTTAAACTCATATCAAAATTATTACTAGGATTTCCAGGTAGATGCTAAGAAACTCCTTCGTGCTTTTTCATTCTCTTGTTTAGATTACTGTAATACATTGTTTGCTCTTGCCCCCTGATGCAACAGGCTTTCCACAGATTGCAGTATCTTCAGAACCCAGCTGCTTAAAGTGTAACTAAATCAAAATCCATCAAAAATGTCAATCCTATCTTGGTCTCTCTGCAAGTTTAGGATTAGTTTTAAAATCTCCTGATTTATAAAGCTCAAAATAATCTGTCCCCTTTTACCTCAAATCATTTCATAGCCATTACACGGTATGCTGACATGTTTACTTTTGTTTGTTGTGCGTCCAATAATGAAACACCTTTCTTTGGAAAAAGAGGTTTCTGTGGTTATGCACCTAATTTTTGTTGAATCAACAATCTGAGATTGTATAAGACTTTGTCTCTGTCTTGTTTTAATTATATTTAACATCTAGGATCCTTTGGTAAGAAATTACAGAGCTGGTTAGGTGGGGATAAATTTGGGTTTTCTGTTTTTGATTTGGTCTGTTTTGAATTTAATAAATTATCAAGTCTATATAGTTGATATGGTGGCATACATCATTAGCATTGTTGTCTGGGACCCTGGTTTCAATTCTGAGAGAGAACGGGGTTCTCTCTGTGTGGAATTTGTATGTTCTCTTGGTGTTCAGATGTATGCCTTGTACCCCAGTTTCCTATAACAGCCTCCCAAAGACATACTTTTAAGTTCATTGGGTTTCTGGAAAATTGGACTTAGTGTGAATGCGTGAGTATATGTTTCATTCTTTTTCTGCCCTGGGTGTATTCTGCCCAATGTCTGTTGCTTGCCAAAATATGCTCTGGCTCCCCATCGACTGTAATCAGAATAACAGTTGAAACATCTAACATTTTCTACCCTTGAAATACTACATTATTTTTTTGAACAATTGAAAAAAAAAACTTTTATCTTAACTTAATGACTTAAATGAAAAAAAGAAAGCCTGACTAACAGAGATGATTTCACTTACTGTTAAAGTAGTTGCAGTCATCAGTGCTGGACTTGGCCAAAAAAGTGAAAAATAACAGTGATAAAAGGATACTAACTCTGAAAAAGAAAAAGCATTATTTTAACACATTTAAATAAAAAACAAATCTTGAATCATTAAAGAAGTAAACTATAACTTTTCCATTCTCCCCATAATATGTAGTATAGGTATGCACATTATGGTATCAAGAAGTATAATTAACTGAGTTTCAACCTCGCATGGATGTTATCTGAAGTAAAATGTTTTTTAAAGCACTGAGTAAAAGTCCACAGTACCAAAGTTGTGGAGTCAGAAGGTCATACGATGAAAAATATACAGTGCAGTATATGGGATATGTTGTTTTTTGGCCAGCATGGTAGTGCACTGGTCAAAATTGCTACCTCACAGCGCTGGGGTCCTGTGAAGGTTTGATTCCTGGGGTGTTATCTGTTTGGAGTTTGTATGTTTTCCCTTGTGTTCGCATGAATTTCCTCCATAAGCTTCAGGTTAATTTGCTTCTGGGAAAATTAACTCCTGCATTAGTCTGTGCGTGTTTGTATCTACTGTATATGTATCCCGAGATGTACTGGCATCCAGTCCAGGTTATATCCTGCCTTGCACCCATTTCATTGCTGGAATGTGTTCCATTCCGAACTGGAAGAAAATGGATGGATGGACAGTACATGCCTCTTAATTCTTTTCTGATGCAAGTTTTAAGAAAGGCTATCCATATAAAATGTATAGGATATACCTGATAAGTAGGATACGAGGTAGGAGATAATCTTCTACAAGTAAATTTTCTCTTTCACAAAATTATACCCTTGTGCAGGAGGAGTCAAATGGTGGTGAAAGGTAATGAACAAGAATTCTGGTAGTATTAATTCGAAGGTCCATTTTTACTCAGAATCAGGGGACAATTGGCCCTGGTGTGAGTGTTCATGTTTGTGCTTTAGAATATTTCGTATTCCTTCTTGTTTTCACTGTATATACAGTTATATATCATGTAAGTTTTGATAATTGTAAGATGACCAAGGGAAGGGTCATTTATAACCGGTATTTCCGGAACAAAACATTTAATATACTTGATATAGACCTGAGCAAGATGGCCACCAAGGAGAACCAGCTGATCCGCTTTTGGAAAAGACCTATGCAGCGAAACAATGAGACACAGGTGAGCTACATCAGGAAACAAAATATAAATGACCCTTTCCCTGGTCATCTTACATAATGTATAGTATGTCATTTAAAATCAAACAGTATGCTCTTTTTTTCATCAATACCTATACAATTTGTATATTCAAATACAAGCTAGAAACAGGGGTCATGCATAAAAAGAGGTGATCAGTCAAAAGGGGCAAGTTAGTAAGACATTCTTATTCCATTAAGGACTTGAAGTAGCATAGCTACATTATAGTACTATGTTAAATTTATCCTATAATAATTATTACAAGGTTCATTTTACCATGTTTAAATAACCTTTAGTTTTATTCCTGTATGCTATTAGAAGTCAATTATTAATTGTCCACAGCTATATTGAATTATATTTTTCTTACCTTATTAATTCTGCACGTAGCATTGTTGGTTGTGTGTTCCTTCCTCTCAAACTCTACTTGTTTAGGCTCCAAGGTACATTATATAGCAAACTACAAGTAGGTATTTTTTGTTGCCTCAGATTTTGGTTGAACTTTGTCTAGTTACACACTGATAAGAACACATTTGTTATTATATAACCGATCACAAATCAAACACAGGTCAAAAGGGGGAGGACACATTTTTGGTAAAATTCCCACAAAAATATACTGAAATTGAATTTCCACTGTTACAAGCAAAATCACTGTAATTAAGGATAGCAAACATAATGCATCACTTTGGAAAATTGCTTTTTGTATCATCCAATTTGACCATTTTTAAATGTTCAAAAGACATGCAATGATATTCTTTAGAAACTGTTCAAAGAGCATAAAATAAATTCACATATACAGTATTCAACTTTTTCAACAAGCAGAAGAGAGGAGGGCTAACCTGTGCTGACAACAGCCATTTCTCTTTGCACAGCATGACATTTCTTAAACATCAGCTCTAATAGCAATCTTAAAGAATTTTCATACACCAATTCAACCTTATACAGTATAAAGTGTCCTCTAATTTTCTGATCATTTCAGTTTCTGAACAATATTTGCAATAACTGTTATTTACTTATTAACAGTATGACATAAATTTAACTGTATAATTTAAAAAATAATTTAATTTTTCAGTATTTTTGGTTTTATTTTGCAAATATATAGTTTTTTAGCTTTATTATGTATAATATCAGTTTTACCTTTCTTATGAGTGATAGTTTGTGCTGCGATGGTTTTAGACATCTTAAATTTTAAATATTTGGTTTTCACATCATAATATGTTGACATTACCATTACCACAATACAAATAAAAAAGGTTTGTTTAAAATAGTATACTGTAGTAGTATTTAGTATGGTATGATTTAGAGTATATACTGTAATATCAATATATAAATGTTTAAAATATGTATAATTTGCAAGCCTACAAATCATGAATGTTTAATTGACTATATGACAATTTCTGTGATCTGCTAGATAAGTTACATCCAAGACTCCAACACTAATAATTTCCAGGATAATGTGAAACCATTTCATAAGTGGGCAAACTTTTAATTTTTGAACTCCCAGCTTTTAAATAAAAGCATTAGCTTTCTAGTGTACCTAGACCTTTAAACCATATTTTAAATTTTCAACAAAAAAAAAAGAACAAAAACATCCCAGACCTTTTTGATCCCGAAGCAGTCGTACATACAGTACAAAGCACAAAGCACTTTGCATTGTGATATCCACCTCTCTTCCATTTGTAGAAATACTGTATGACTGTGCTGACTACCCATGTCTTCATACAACATTTTAAATAGTCTGGATTAAAGTGGTTGAGCTTTAATATAATTAATAATTTGTACTGCCTTGAGAAGTGCATTTTTAAGAGATGTGGTCGTTTTTTTTTTAACTGCAAGTGCTTAGCTGTATAGAACACAATGGCTGCTGGTGCTTCCTGCTGTGTGACAGCTCCCACCATTTTAACTATCATTGCCTGGAAACCATCGTTAAATAAAGCAACGAATGTTTCTCATCCAATTTCTTGTTTTGTTGTTTGTGCAGTTAAGTATTTCTACACCAGTCACATTGTTTTACAAATATTCACTTTAAAGATTATTCAATAGATGCATCACACCTACTATATTGGACAAAATACAAAATCCTGAATGGCACTGAGCAAGTCAGATTAGGAGTGTTCTTAATGACTAGAAACAGATTAATAATCAAAGCAATATATGATGATAAATTAGCAATATAATAATGTAATAATAAGCAATACATATGAATATTACATTTAGGGCACTCAAGAGGACTGTTAGAAGTATGGGACCCAATTCCTACTTATGAAGCTAACTCTGTGGAATCCTTAAAGGAACGGATTAAAGGAATTCTAGGATCGTTAAACTACTACTAAATGAGCAAGGCTGGTCAGACTGCCTCCACTCATTTCTAACCTTTTCCTTCTTCTTTATCATTCTAAATCATGAACATAAATGGATATAGCATTACTCGGGAACTAAAAAAAAAGTTATGTGTGATTTTTCTTAACTCAAAGTCCGACCATTTTTAAAGTTTTTGTGATTCACGGACAAAAGGTGGCTACAATGACCAGGAGGTTGTGTTCAAAAATCTAAAGGAAAAGCAGGAGATGATCCAGTTTTATCAAACTTAACCTAACATTACAAGAATGGCAGCTTAATAATGCAATAGTATCCATGCATAACGCATGAGGCATGTGACAAGCAGGTACAAGTAAAAGCAAGTGAAAGTGAAAATAATTCACTAAAGACCAAAAGTAAAATCTTATAAATACTGGATTTCAATATCCTCAGGAATATTAATAACATTAACATTAATATTATGACCAAACAAAATTTGGACTTAACGGCTGTTACTTTCAAATGAACCATTTGTTATTATTACAATTACCTCATTGACCATCCCCATTCAGTGCCAACATAGACCATATTTATGCAAAGATTTTACCAGATGTCGCCAATCCCTTCACAGCTGTGCTAATCTGCAATTAAATAGCTTTCATTATATCAGAATTTAGGCCATTAAGATACAGATTGCGAATGGTACTTCTAGTGTGAAATGGTTTGACTGCCAAAAAATAATGAATTTCCACACAATTTAAATTTCATACACATCTCATAACATAGGTAGAAATTGAATGCAAATGAATTGCTCTAATGCATTATTGCCCACCAGCCTCTTTTTAATCCCAAACCATATAATTAAGAATAAAATTTAGTCTCAGCATTGTTCTCAAAATGTCACAGCAAGAGTGGCGTGGGAGGACAGAAATCATTAATCCATGCTGAAGTCTGAGTCCAATTTGATAATTACTGTCCCCAAATCTATTTGGGGAAACATTAAGCAGTAATTGTAGGAAAGTTAGATAAAGAATTCACTGTTCTGAAATATAAAAGCAAATTATAGAGTCTAGTTCACTTAGAGTCTGTTTTCATAAATGTTAGCCTTTGCTCTGTACAAGCCTAGTACAGTTAAGCAAAACTCATTCTTACAGTGTAGGAGTACACGTACTGTATCTCTGGAGAGCACTACATCATGAGATAAAGTGTCAACAGTATTTTTGCCTTCGCTGCATGCTCAGAATACTTTCTTAAGCATTCGTTCAAGAACAGAAACTTTTATGTCATCTTAAGCTGGTTTATTTTCCTTCACACTGCACTATAAGAACTCCTTTACTCGTGCATATTTCATGCCCTTTCCTGTAGTACTGTATTTGTAGATGCTTATGTCAAGTGTAACATTTTGCATTTATAATTTTTTTTTAAAATTATTTTACTTTTTTTTTTTTCCCTATCATTTCTAGTATTATTTTCTTGCAACACTGACTAAGGTTTAAAAACGGATCTTTTCTGTTGTTTCATTGAGGCCAAGCAGAGTGGATGCATAAGATGGAACATTTGTCACGGCTAAAGTGACAAATTTGAAACAGACTCGGCAGCGTACACAATCGGCGGTTTACTGTACACCCACAATATTAAGCCTCTGATTCTTGCCTAGTTTCTATTTTTAGATTAACATTTTATATTGCAGTTTATTTTAAGACAAATAACATTCAAATGCCATTAACGTGTTAGAGGTTTATGAGTTCTGTTCAGGATTGTGCTTTAGAATCTCATTAAGTGCAAACAAGAACAGGAATAATGACAATAAACATCCTTTAGCATTTCTATTAATAATCATACTCTATTTGCAAAATATTGTAGCAGCTTGAGTGTTTTCAATTTTCACTGAAAAAAAAAATAGGCCTAATTGATGTCTGTCTGACAGGAGTCTAATAATCCTGTCCCAGCAATTGATTATATTGATTATAGGCCCAATAGTTTCAAGGACATACAGTAGTTCCTGATTGGGTGACTAATCACTCAACTAACTGTTACGTACAGTATAGACACTTACAGTATCAGTCCTCAAGAAGATGTTTTTTCAAATTTTGCACTAAAATCAGATGTATCTATAACTAACTCAAGACATGTTTTAACTTATCCTCTTTTTTATTTATAAACAAACTCTCATTAATGTTTACAAATATTTTATTTCAGCATATTTGGGCTAGATTTTGTTAACGTTTTTTGAAACATATTGACTTTTTAAAAGCATCGAAGCATGCTCCCTCACTTCAGTAATACAGTATGTGTTACCCTAGATTTAGAAAAACACAGCTTCTTACATAATTCAGAAATTCTTTTTGAATACCACAGAAGACAAATGATCATTTCAACAATTTTGTATTGTGTTATATGTTAAACTGCAACATACTAAAATAAAGGCAAAAATAGGAAACATACAATATGTTGGATGTTTGGATTATTAAATATCTGTTTCTGAACAATTACAGTTCAACAGATGTCAGAATACAAAACTATGTAAAACATATATATATATAACACAAAAGCTTTAATTTTTCAGTCGAGATATAATTAATCTTGTTTCCATATGCAAATGCATCAAATCTGTAGCATAAATCTATCATAGTGCATATTCTGAATACTGATCATCCTCACAACTTTCCTGCAATACTGTTTTGCATTCTTGGGCAACACTGTGACACCTCCAACTCGAGAAATCATCACAAAAACTTTCAGTGGAAAAGTATGCTTTCTCAAAAAACTGCAACATTCCAACTAAAACACCATTAAAGTAATTTTCTGTCTGATAAAAAGAGCGGCTTTTGTATCCATTTGTGTCAATGCATAATTGAAAGTGATGTGATGTGCTTTGTTGCAGAGCAAATAATTACAAAGCGAATGGGATGAATAAATACAGTTTTGAACCCTTCAGAGAATTTGGTATTAAAAAGAAATTCACAGTTTAAAAGTCATTCAGCTGGAATCTAATAACTATTTAAATATTAATGGAAATGTTCACAAAAGCAGTTTGCAAAATGCGTGGCGTTGACAGTCTTATCTTCATGTTTGAGGAACAGGTTTGCATTGACAAATGGTTGCAAAAGTGGGAGTAGAGCCTCATTCATTAATAATTCATTTGCCATGTGGGTGACAATAAAAAGAAAAAAAAGAAGGC